TATATATATATATATATATATATATATATATGGTGCAAGGTCCTCTTTTCCGATGAAAGTAAATTGTGCCTTTTATTCAGAAATCAAGGTCCACGAGTTTGTAGGAAGAAGAGTGAGGAACAGAGCCCATACTTCTTGAGGTCCAGTGTGAAATATCCACAGTCAGTCATGATTTGGGGTGCAATGTCCAGTGCAGGTGTTGGTAAACTCTGCTTTCTTAAATCCAAGGTCACCGCAACCATCCACTAGAATGTTTTAGAGGACTTCATGATTCCTTCTGCTGAGGATCTGTATGAAGATGCAGATTTCATCTTCCAGTAGGACCTGGCCCCTGCCCATGCCACCAGAAACTCCAAAACCTGGTTTGATGCCCATGCCACAGTGCTTGACTGGCCAGCCAACTCTCCAGACCTAAACCCCATTGAGAATCTATGGGGTATTCTCAAGAGAAAAATGAGGAGCACCAGACCCAACAACAAAGAAGAACCGACCACAAGCATCAAGTAAATTTGGGCTTCCATAACTCCCAGGCAATGCCACAGGCTGATTTCCTTAAAGCCACGTCGCATCGAGGCAGTGATTAAAGCAAAGTGATTCCCAACCAAGTACTGAAGATTGACATATCGTTTTGAACGTACCATATTTTGATTGATTTGTTCTGATCCTAATTTATTTCCTTTTTTCTGCAAAAACTGAGAAGTAGTGTAGGCTGATGTCTTCACAGTATTCTAATTTTGTGAATTCCTGTTTTTGTGGGTTTCATGAGCTGGAAGCCCAAAATATGTAAAAATAATCAAATACTTGAAATAGTTCTGAATCTATCATCTATGACAGATTCACTTTTTGAATGTAAGTATGTAAGTTAAATGCTGGTGAAGATTCTCAGTCATCCAGGATTAATTAAATAAAAAGTTCAATACAAAAACAACTGGACTTTATTTGTAACAGAAGACGTTTTGCTCCTCATCCGAGGAGCTTTCTCAATTCAAAGAACAGTGAGTGTGGGGTTCAGATCATCTCAGCCTTATAACCTGAACCCCACACTCACTGCTCTTTGAATTGAGAAAGCTCCATCAGAGGTGTCCACTAAAACTAGCA